ACGTCCGGGGCTTCGCCCTTGCAATTATCAATTCCACCTCGGCCGGCGGTCCTTCGGCTGCGGCCACCCTGGTGCTCACGCAGTTGTCCGGGGTTCGGGCCCATGCGTTAATTCCTCGGTTTCCGACCCGGGTCGTCGTTTGTCCCGACCTCCTGGTGTTTCCGACGCCATGCACACCTTCACGCTGGCAGTTCGACTCAGTCTCAGTCGCCCTTGCCACCCGCTGGTCCGCCGCTGGGTTGCCGCGTGAGGCGTCGGTTAGCCGCGTTAGGCGTGGCTTGCCCCCGCTGCCTTCGCTTATTCGTCGCTGCGGAGCCCGCTTTGACCTTACTCGCCGCCAGCGCGCTCGCCCGCGGCCGCTGACTAAAAAGCATCCCCCACCAGCCGGCCCCCCCGCTCCAGCGGCTCCCCATCCCAGGGCGCCTGGGGCTCCCGAGTGCACGTGGTTCAGCCTGTGCTCTCCCGCCTGTCGGACGATCGTGTTGACCCGTCATTCGGTCCTTGGCGGCGATGCCCACGGCATCCTCGTGCTTCCTCGCCCCGGTGCTGAGACGCGGATCTCCCTGGTTCGGTCTGCTCTCACTCGTCGGCTCCTGCTCGAGAGTGTGCGTGGCTTTACCTGGCCCGGTGGCTCAGGAGCTTACGGTGTGGATTACATCCACCGTCACCCTGGCTACTTCGCCCGTCCCTGGGGCCACTCCGTGGACGGTCGTTTGCAGGATCAGTATTCCCCTCAGGGGACTTGGTGTGCGACTTTGGGGGCGCCACCCGTTGCACCAGTTTGGGCCGGTATGGGCACCCATGGCTGCAGTCGTCTCTGAGTACCGGCTGGCTGCCTCCCTGGTTACATCCTGGTACGCCGTTCGCGCTATTTTGGCCGCGCCCCATCCCTGGTTGGCTAATTTGCACGTGCGCGCCACTGGACCTGGCCCCTGGCAGCTGCAGCTTGCACCCCCCTCACGCCGGCCAGCCCGCCGAGGCTCTGCTGAGGTCGCCGGCCCGTCGGCGTTAGGAAATTCGGCTCTTGCGCGGCCCGCTCGGACCTGATTCGCCGCTGGCGCCTTCGCCTGCGGTCGCGACGAAAAGGTATCCCCCACCAGCCCTTGTCTCGCCTCCTGTTTGTCTCTCTCCTGCTCGTTATTGTTTTTTTTCTTGTCGCGTCCTCTTCCTTTGCGCTAATTTCGGCCGCTGCTAGTTTGCAATTCCCTGGACGCCGCCCGACCTTTTTCGCCGCGGTCGCGATCAAAAAATCCCCACCAGCCCACTCAGAAACAGTTTGCCAGGCGATTTGAAGCGTTGTCACGAGAGGTTCTCAGGGGGTCTCTAAAGCCATCTTGGGGCTCTCCTGAGGTCTTCTTGGGGCCCTCTTGAGGCTGTTTTGGGGCCATATTGAGGCTATTTGGGGGCCATGTTGACGGGTCTGAGAGGTCTCTTGGGGCCGTCTCGGCCCCCGCAGCCCAAAAGGAGGGGGGGGTCTTCTATTCAGGTACCTCCCTCGGAGGCTCAAACATTTTTTGGGGGCCTTCTTATAGCGCTCTTGGGGAATTCTTGGGCGCGCTCGGAGCCCTCGTGGGGCCTTCTTGGGCCCCTGTAAGGGGCTCTCTCGGGCCGTTTGGGGGCCATCTTGAGGCCTCGGAAACCCAGCAGAACCGACAAAGGCGAGAACGCAGAAATCACTGTTTCCCCCAATGTTTGGGAACCAGATTGGCCTCTTAAGCGGGTCCTTGGAGGGCTCGGAGGGCACTGGAAACCATCTTAGGGCCGTTTGGGGCATCTTCGATGCATGTGGAAATATATATTGAGCCATATTCAGCTATATTGAGCCATTTTGGAGGCCATCTTGGGCTCTCAGGCCCTGTCGGAGCCATCTTGGACCATCTTGGGTGCTCTAGTGCCTCACGCACCCCCCCCCCTCCCAGGCCCAAGGGAGGGGTAGGGGGAGGGGTAAATCCCTGCCCCGAGCAGAGGCAGGAGGGACTTGTGGACAGAGGGAAGACAAATATCGTTAAACCACCTACGCCCAGAGGACTAGTGGGATTAGTGTTCCCCCCCTTGGATTTCCCTTGGCGCCATTTTCGGTCGTGTTGGGGTCCTCTTGGACCGTCTTGGAGCGTCGGAATCCCGAAAAGGTGAGACTGTTAATTTCGCTCACAAGCCCTAGGAATATCAGTGATGATGGCCTCTTGCGGCCCTCTTGGGCGGCTTCTTTGAGACTCCTTCGGCCGCATTGCGGGCCTCTTCGGCAGTTTCGAGGCCATCTTCTGCGTCTGGGAGCGCGTGTGGGTCGTCCTGTGGAATGGTGTCGGTGGCAGCTGGGTCCCTGGACGGAAAGGCCTCCCCCCACCTCCCGCGCTTCCCACGCTTTTCGCCGGAGGCGGCGACAGGAGGCGACAGGGAGCTGCACACACTGAGCCCTCGATGGTCTTGTCGACCCCGCGTCTGAGACAGACGAGTCTGAGAGTGAGGCCGCTTTGATCCCTGGGGTTCTTCAGGAGGGGAAAAAAAACACAGACACAATTAATCGTCGATCCCCCGGAAAATATAGGAAAATATGGGAAGTCGGGGGGAAGACAAAAACCCAGAAAGTATGGGAAAATAGGGGGATGTTTTTATTTGTGTGTATTTATTTGTGTGTCTTGGGGCCCCTTCATTTTTGCCAAACCGCCGACCCCTAACGGTGCTTCGGCCTGCGGGCGGAGCCCACTCTCTGGCGCGGAGACGGAGGCGGCGGTCGCTGTGCGGACCAGTACGCCACGGGAGCTGCGAGCCTGTCGGAACGGCGCGCCCGTGGGGGAAGTCAGCGGGGGTGGCCTCCTCGGAAGGCTCGGAAGGCCGCCGGCCATGTGAGATGTTCGTGTGCCTTTCTGGACGCCCGAAATGGGTACGGAAAGAATGGGTAGAATGCCCAACAGCAGTTCCTGTTCATCTTGAACAGGACTCGCTGTCCGCGCCGCCGCGGCCTGTCTCCATTTGAGACAGAAGGCCGCCTGCCCAACAGCGGCCACTGTTGGTTTGGGACAACATTTGCTGTTGGGCATTGTACCCATCTTTTCCGTACCCATTTCGGGCGTCCAAAGCTTTCCCCGAAGATGCAGAGAATTTCTCAGAAGGCCAGAGGGCTTCTGAGAAGCCCCGCCGCCTCCTGAGAAGGCCTGCCCCATCGTACTTCCCCGCGGGCTCGCCGACGGGCTTCAGAGTGAGGCAGCTTTGATTCCCATCCTGATCGGCACACTCTGTGACAACGCTTGGAGGTTACAGGCGTGTCTGCAGCCCCGTTCTATTCAGCGAGGACGGGGAGCTCGCCTCCCGTGTGGAGATCAGCCTCAACTCAAGGACTCGCACACATTGAGATGGCTAGCAAAATTCAGGGAATCTCTTGGGAGGCCCTTCGGAAGCCTCTTGCAGGCGGGGCTTTGGGGGGGGTCCTTGGGGGCCTTCTGGAGGTCTTGGGGGTCATCTCGGGGCGGAGGGCTCGAAATGTCGGTTCGTTTTCCCCCTCTGTGGCCTCTCTTGGGCCCTTCTTGGGCCGACTTGGGGTCTTATCAGGTCGTTTTGGGAATCGCTTCGGCTGTTTGGGGCCTCCTGGGGCGATGTTGTGGGCCTCATGGATGTTGGGGCATCTTGGGGACCTCGTCATAGGCCATCTTGGAGCGATCTTTGGCCGACCCAGGGCCCTCTTGGACCGTCTTGGGCTCCTCTTGGCCCATTTGGGTGCCATCTTGGCTCCGAAAAAGTAATGCGGGGACGCCCCCGCATGCGGGGAGAACAAACTCAGCATGTGGGAAGCCCCAGAAACTTTTCAGGAGTTTGGGATCCTGACCCTTTTACGATTGGCTTATCAGGACAGGACGGGTGGCTGAAGGGGGCCTGAGGACACTCCAACCCGTGCTTTAGAGCACTGTGGCGGATGGACAGAGGGATATCCTGAGTGGATTACATCGGCCCATTGAAAGTTCCTTGAATTTTCATCACGACGCTGGCCAGCGGAAGTCGACGGAAGTAAAACGAGGCGGAAGACGGGGGAAGGCCGTCGGAAGGCTTGCGGATGTCAGCGGAAGTAAACGACGCCCCTTCCTAACCCCACCTACCCCCGTAGAAGCCTAGCAACGTAGTCTTCCGTGGGCCGGGCGGGATCCCGCCTGGCTTATTCCGCTTTAATATTATAAGTTTAGCTCAGGACGATTAAAGTCCCACCCATTAAAAATTGGGTAGAGTAAAATCCCGGATCGTTCACGGATCCCGCCATGCTGGGATCGGCTCTAAGTAAAGTGGGGGTCATAAGCTGCAGTATGTTTGCCGTGTTGGGGCCGTCTTGAGGTCATCTTGAGGTCATCTCCCGGTCGCGTTTGGATCACGCAGTCGTCGCATGGTCATTATGGGGCCACCTTGGTTTGCTTGGATCCATCGTGTTGCCATCGGGCCATCTCGGCGTCACACGTTGCTCATGTGTTTCGTCATCTGCGAGTCGGCCTGAGACGGTCCAGAATCCATGGCGGGATCGTGTTGGGGTGGCATCATCCTGGGGTCGTCTGGACGTTATCGTCCGTGGCCTGAGGCCCTCCTGGAAGCATGTGGTGGCCATGGAGAGTCTTGGGATCGCGTGCGTGGGAGCGCTGAGCACGCGCGCGCGACTTGTCATCTTGCCGACGGGTATACATACAGATTCTTCCGCTTGCGAGTTTCCAAGGTAACTTTTGTTGGAGCCAAGTATAGGGAGGGACGGAGGGAAAGAGAGAGAGAGAGAGAAGGCGGCAACATAGATGGCGAGTCGGATAATGTGACACCCTGGCTTGCACCTATATACACACACCCATGGTACAAATATTCAGAGAGACAGGAGAGGAGAGAAAGAGAGAGAGACACACACACGCACGTACACATACATGTATGCATGTATGCACGTACGTATTCATATCAAGAAAGAGACAGAGAGAAAAAGGGTGGCATCACGGTCACAACTCAAGACAAATGAGTATATGTCGGCAGACTGGCCGCGTCAGGATGAGAATTTCGACACGCGGCGGAAGATTTACGGCGATGCGTGCTTAGGGCCCCGCCATTGTTTTGCCTCTTCTTATCTGTTCACCGGCCAATCGCGCCTCCGCCAGAACGTGCGCCGCGCGTGGGAGCACAAGAAGAGGAGGAATAATGATGACGGGGAGGAGGAGGTGAGGGAAAGGAGACTTGGAGGAGGAGAGGAGGAGGAGGAGGAAAAGGAGGAGGAGGAGAGAAGATCAGGATGAGGGAGGCGAGGACGAGGAGAGAGGAGATTGAAGAGGAGGAGGAGAAGGACGACGACAACGAGGAAGAGGGGGCACGAGGGGCAGGAGTAGCAGGGAGAGGGGGAGGGGGCGGAGGAAGGAAGAGGACGACGAGATGGTGGAGGATGAGGAGAACGACCACAAGGAGGATGACGAGGAGGGCTCATCCGTCAATCATCGGGCAAACAGCTGCCACAGGGGGGACGCCTCCATCCGATCATGCCCGCCTGTGTTCCTCCCCGTGTGTACGAGCCATGTCCGCTGTCAACGGAGGCGTTCGCTGTCCATTCTCGTATGATTCCTCGTCCTCCTCCTCCTCCACCTCCTTTTCCTCCTCCTGCTCCTGCTCCTGCTCCTCCTTCCCCTCCCTCTCTCAACACCTTTCGACCCATCCACCTCCCAGCTGGGACTCTAGCCCGGCTGCCCGACCTACTCCCCGCAGGTGGGGATATGTGCCGTCTCCGTCGGGCTTCGCGGCATGCAACCCCACTTCGCGGGGGCAGGTTGGTATCGCTGAAGAAACCTGGACCACTGGGGATAGGGATTGTCAGGCGATCGCAAACATGGATCAACGGGGCGTGGATCAGCGACGGGTCCCGCTTCCACGGGAAATCACGGATTCCCGCCGCCGAACGAGGCGGCACCGGCCGCATTTTGGGGAGGGCCCCCCCCACGAGCCATGGATTTGGCGACCGCGCATCAAATCCATGATGGATCGATCGCTCATCCACCCGAGATTGGTCTGAGATGGTCCACGCTCAAATCCCCGCGCGCCCTCGAGATTGGTCTGACGATGCCGACTTCCCCCACCCGTGCCAGCGAGCCACGCAGATGCCGCCACCCGGGCACGCCGCGCAGCGACGTCGAGGCAGGAGCTCACCGACCCTGTCGATGGCCCCGGGCTTTCAATTCCGCATCGCTGAGTTCCCCCTGTTTCGGGGGCGGCAAAGATCGGGGGTGGACAGACCTCCTACCCTGACACGTCGATTAAGGAATTGGCCGTGTTCGGTTCGCGAGAGGGCGTCGCGGCCGTCATTTTTGCGGGTCCAGGTCCGTCGGTTTCGGTCCCAGGCCGTTTTCATTAAAGGGAAGTTTACCAAAGGGAGGTTTGTCCACCGCCGAAAAGAGGGGGGGCGATGACCAGGGGGGGGTGGATATCATGGCGTGTGCCATGATATTTCCCCAGATCTCATGGCGCCTCTCCTTCTCTCATTCTGTCCCTGGGTCCGACCCGGGGCCGCGCACATGCCGCCAGCCACGACTTGCGCCTCCCCCTCTCCTGGACGCCCCCCTGTCGGCCGCCCCCGAAATACAGTGGGGGCGCGCATCAAGAAACCCTGAAGGAACCCTTTGGGTTGGGGAGGGGCTCCGCGTTCCTTAAGTGTTTCACAGCTTGCCTCAGGTTTTCCTTATGTTTTCGATCGGAAATCGAAGCTTAACTTATGGAAAAATGGGGCCTCGTTCCTTATTTAGGGTTCAAAAGGTCAACGCCCCGACTGTATGTTTTTCGTCAGGGTATCTTGGGCTTCCTTCGCCCCTCGCTCTGCGCGGTGACTCCCCGCACCCGCTGCAGAAGCTGCCGCGTTCGGGGTGCTCCGGGCTTCCCTTCAGGCTTGGCATCGCTCGGACGTGTGCATTTTTCCATCGGCGAGGACCATCGAGGAGCATCCTTGATCATTTGGCGAAAAAAAAAAAAACCACGCCCGAAACCGAACAAAAAACACCGGGAATGGACGTCCGAGCGATGGCGAGCAGGTGCACCTCGCGCGCGGGTCCTCAGGGTTGGGCTTCTTAGCGAGGGGTTCCTGCGGCCCCGCCCGCACTGTACCGCGCCGTGCTGGTGTCCACCCGGCTCGTCCCCCGACGCTGCTCGCCCACTGCCCGCGCCGTGCCCGTGCCCGCTGCTCGGGCAGTGCGCCCCTTCGCAGGGAGGCCCGGCGCAGGCTGCTGTGGGGGCGGAGGAGGAGGAGGAGGGGGAGGAGGCGGAGGCGGAGGCGGAGGCGGCGGCGGCGGAGGGGGAGGAGGAGGAGGAGGAGGAGGAGGAGGAGGAGGAGGAGGAGGAGGAGGAGGAGGAGGAGGAGGAGGAGGAGGAGGAGGAGGAGGAGGAGGGAGGAGGAGGAGGAGGAGGAGGAGGAGGAGGAGGAGGAGGAGGAGGAGGAGGAGGAGGAGGAGGAGGAGGGGGGAGGGACAGGGAGGAGGAGGAGGAGGAGGAGGAGGAGGAGGAGGAGGAGGAGGAGGGGAGGGGAGGTGCAGGGAGGGAGGAGAGGAGGGCGAGGGAGGAGGAGCGAGGAGGGCGAGAGAAGAAGAGGAGGACAACGACGGAGAACAGAAGGGTGCCGAGTGGAGGAGAAGGAGGGAGGGGAAGAGGAGCTGGACGACGACGAGAGAGAGAGGAGGAGGACGAGGGGGATGAGGACAAGGAGGGTGGGAGAGGGTGGAGGGGAGGAGGATAAGAAGGAGGCGGGGAGGAGAGGGGAGGACCTGAACGATCATTCCGCCCTCCTTTTCATGCTCGCCCCGTTGCCTGTTGAAGCTTCTGCTGCTACCCGTCGTTCTGCTTCCGCATCCCCCTTCCACGTCCTCCAAGTACCTCTATTTCCGTATGATGCCCTTCCGTCCTACAGTCTGGCTTGTTGAAGTTGTTGTTGCCATTATTCGTTCTCTTTCCGCCCGCTCCCTCAACGTCCCTACAGTTTGTAACTCCAGTTTCTCCTGATCCCCCTCCGTCCTCTATCCTGCTGCCTTCTTCCTCGTACCCCCCCTCCTCCCGCCTCCCTTTACACTCCCTCCTCCCTTCTCCTCCTCCTCCTTCTCCTCGTCCTCCTCCTCCTCCATGTCCGCGACGCTTCGCGTCTGCCCTCCTTCCGTTTCACTTTCTTGTCCTCGTGCCAGTCCTCGCCATCCTCCCCTTTGTCCATGCGAGTGGGGGTAGGGATCGGGGAACCGATGCTCATCCCCCCTGTCTCTCCCTTCCTCCTCCTCCTCCTCCTCCTCCTCCTCCTCTCCTCCTCCTCCTCCTCCTCCTCCTCCTCCTCCTCCTCCTCCTCCTCCTCCTCCCCGAGCCGCAGATTGGTTGGAAGCTGCTGCAGAGCCCCTGTGGGAAAACTCGCAAGATTCGCACGTGTCTTACACGCTCGAGCCGTGAGCGGGCCCCGGCCCGCTGCACAGGTCTTTCTAGGATCGCCCCTTGGGCGTTTAGGTGCGCCTTGCCCCTTGCCTTCCCCTTTGTCCTTCCTCCTCGAGCCTCAGCGGAGGAAAAGGTACCCATACCCCTACCCTTCGCCTGTTCTCCCCCTGGTCGGCCTCAGGGGAGGCCCTCGTCGCCACCGCCGCATGCGCCTCGAAGTTCTCGTCAGAACGCACCCCGGGAGAGGTCCAGGGAGCAGCGGTATCGGTACCTTTTGATTTCCCCAGGGCCCTCCCCCCCACGCACACACGACGGAGGCGCAAGAACCTGCAGATGATCGACATCGCCCGCCGGTGTGGCGCGGCCGCCAAGCTGCCAGGCAGCGGCGGCGCCGTGATCGGGCTCTGCCGCCCGCAGGCGCGCGCCCCCCCCCAGGGAGTCTTCGGGGGGGCCGGCCTGGCGGGCGGCAGCGGCCCTGGACCTCAAGCAGTCGCGAGGCATTTTTCGGGAGGGGAAAACACACAGAGACCATGAATCGTCGATGCCCAGGGAAATACAGGAAGATGTTGCAAGTTGGAAATCCCAGGATTTGTGTCCAATCTTGACGTTTCGCGTATCCCCACCAGGCGCACAGGCTACCGGCTGGAGGTTGCTCAGCCTCGTGAGCGCACACCAGTGGTCTGCCTCTTACTGGATGGTGCTCGGACGCGGACCCCTCATTGACACTCGTGTTCAGCGGCTTTTGGCTGCGCCCCCCCCTGCCCAACAGCGCCATCACATCGCGCCGGCCACAGAAGCGCGTCTGCTCTGAGACCTGCCCTGGGAACAGCGGTCCTTCCTTCGTCGCCGACCCGGCCATGGTTCTACTACAAGGACGTCTTGGCCCGCCGTCAGCACGCCGCCAGCGAACGGTACGGCCCAGCAGCTCTGCAGCTGCCAGCCATCGGTTCGCCCCGGCGTCGGAGGTATTCGGCTTCTGCACGGGCAGCGTGGCAGGTGTTGAGTGGGTGCGGCTGTCCGCCATACACATGGTGATTGGCTTCGTCAAAGTGAACGGCCCCGCATTGAGTGGCTCAGCCTTCTGCGGTTCGAGTTCGGTTCACTCTTCTCGGCGCAGCCACAGCCACCAGCCCTCGTCAGTACATTGCATCGTTGTGCCCCCGAACAGCGTGATTCGGATACGATGTAAGCGCACAGGCTACCGGCTGGAGGTTGCTCAGCCTCGTGAACGCACACCAGTGGTCTGCCTCTTACTGGATGGTGCTCTGACGCGGATCAGCCACACCTCAGCTTCAGTGAGCCTTGGTGAGTCGGGACACCCTCGCCGCATCTCAGGAGGGAAAGAAACACACAGACACAATTAATCGTCGACTTCCAGGAAAATATGAGAAAATATGGGAAGTGGGGGGAAGACAAAAAACCCAACAATATTGAAAAATATAGCGATTGTTATTTGTGTCTTTGTACTTGTGTGTCCCAGTTCCCCGTTCAGCATCATCGTATGCTCGTGGAGCTGCAGTGGGTCTGAGTTAGTTGCTCTCGCTCGCGCTCCCCCCCCCCTTTTTTTCCGAGGTCTTGGACGGCCTGGCTCAGTGCGCACACGCGTGGGTTCCGTCTGGTCATTGGCCGCTCGGACTCGCGTTCTGCCCGCGGTGTTTTACCGTGTCTTGCTGTCCGTCTTGGCCTCGCTTCCGATTGCGTTTTTTTTTTTTTTCCTCGCTCGGTGGTGCTCGTGTGCTCGTGAGGCGCTCTCCGAAACACGTGATCCTGAGGCCCAGAATGCGCGTGGGAGTCGGGCCTACGGTCGTGGGACAGGCGTCGCGGTGGACACACTGGTGGAAATCCGCTGTAACAATACAGGGCATCGACAAGAGGGCCTCCGTTAGTTCCCATTGGAAGCTAGAGGGACTGTGCACACACCTTCAGATACTTCACATCTTCATTAAAACTCAAATGCTTGCGGGCGAGCGCCCCTGACCCAAGCAAGTGAGCCACACGCAGTGCCAGTAAAAGTCGCAAGACAAGGCCGGCACGAGGGGGAAGGAGCGGGAAGGAGGACGGGGACAGGACGAGCCAGTCGAGCCACCGCTCAGGCCACCAAGCAGGATGCCGAGGCAGCCCCACGCTGTAACGGGGCAGCCCTCAATCCGGGTAAACACGTTACTTTCTGAGCCGCTAAAATCTTGAAGCGCGGCCGGGAGGAGGAGCAGGGAGGACGAGGAGGACGAGGAGGACGACCTGGTGCCGAAAGCCGGCCCGTCCGACCCCTCACATATACGACCAGTAAGCAAGCGTGGCGGGTCGTCTTGGGGCTGTCGGGACCCGCGTGGGGCTCCGGAGCTTGCGGCTGGAACGGGGCCGCTCGCCAGAAAAAGACGCCGGCTGAACAACTCGCCGGGGTGCAGTCGAACTGGCACGAGGATTGTGAGACGGGGCCGGCGCGAGGAGGAGGGAGGAGGCGGAGGAGAAGGAGGGAGAAACGAATCGCTTCATGAGCACAGGGTGCTCGGGGCGACTGCACGCGGCCTCCGGGCCCGGGAGAGGGAGGGGGGGCGGCAAGCAGGCAAGGCAGGGGGGCAGACGGGCAGGCGGCGGTGGGGCGGGGGGGCACGGCCGCGGGGTGTGAGCCACCAGACCCCGCCGTTAGGCGCGCGTGCGCGGGGGCGGGCGGGGGCGGGTTGGGGGTTGGGGGGGAGCGACGGGGGCGCGGGAGGGGGCGCCTACGTGGCACCCTCCTCCCGGTCGGGCCAGCACGCCTGCACCTGCCTGGCGGCGCGGCGCCACAGCTCCGTGCCGATGGCCGCGGCCAGCCGCTTGTACCGCCACTCCCCATCAGAGCAGCCACGCCTCCGCGATTGTTTCATCGCGAGAGTGCGGAGGATGGCTGTCGTCCGGGGGTGGGGGCGGCCGTAGCAGGTGTAGACCAGCGGCTGGTATGTGATGTTCTGCCGCGCCAGAACATCGGCGTGCGCCGAATAGTACTCGACCTTACGCCGGTACATGGTGGCCGCGCAGTCCGGGCCGGCCGCCACGGCGTCAGGCGAGGCGATGCCCACGTCGAGGGCCAAGAGGCCGTTGCCGAGGGCGCCGGTCAGCACGTCGGCTGGTCGGAGGCGCGTTCCTGGCACCAGGCCCTGGGCCTCGAGTTCTGCTCCTGGGTCGCAGACTCTGGCCGCGGCGTGCACCTGGCGCGCCACCGCGTGGTGCCCCCGTGTTGATTCCGCGCGACAGCAGCAGAGGGCGTGCGACCCTGCCCGGTCGAGGACCGCCTGGCCGCAGAGGCCGCACGGGACTGGGTCCAGCGGCCCGGCGGCGCCCACGCGCAGGCGCAGGGCCTCGGTGAACTCGGGGCTGTCCATCACAGGGCCCTTGTGCTTCGAGAGGTTCCAGAGCCAGGAGTGGTCGCAGTCGGAGTGCTCGAGGTCGTCGAGCCGCCGCAGCGCCGCGTTGTCCCCAGCGTCCGCGTGCCTCTTGCGAAGGTCGTGCCGTCCCTGCTCGTCGAGGTAGCGAAGTAGAGCCCGCTGCAGGTGCAGCTGCCGCGTGCGCGGGGCGGAGTTGGGGTGCTCGTTGTCCTCGTCCTCGTCGAGCGGAAGCAAGTTGCGGCCGAGGCCCCGGGGGCGGCCGCGGCGCTCCTGGGGCGCGGCGGCGGGCGCCTCCGCGTGCCGGTTGAAAAGGGCGGCCCAGCGACCCTCGGCTTCCACGGCGGCCTCTGAGAGCGCGGCCACGAGGAGGCTGCCGACCGTGGGCGGTAGGCTGAAGACAAGGCGGGCCGCGGCGTCGTCCGTGCGCCTGTCGTACTCGGCCATTATGACCCCTGCCTCGCCCAGGCCCCTCTCCGTGAGGTGCGTTGCCATCTCCCGCACGTGGGGCCTCGAGCACACGCGGCTGGCCACGAAGGCCGCGAGAGACACCTGCGAGGCGGTCCGCATGCCAAGGCCTCCTGTGCTCACGCCGAGCGAGCACTGCTCCCACGCCGCGTCGGGGAGGTCGCCGCCTGCGACAAGCTGCACGGCTTCGCGGAGGTCGTTGTCGAATTGCTGCAAGTGCTCGTCCTTCACCCTGTCCCCGTTGAGTCGAAGCTGGTAGGAGAGCTTCGACACGTCGGCGCAGAGCCGTGTGAGCACCAGTTCCGTCGCGGCGTGTCCGACCTCCAGCAGGGCGAGTCGCGTGTCGCGGGCCTTGGTTAGCACGGCCTTGACCTGGTCGTCGAGAGCGTCGGGGCTGCCGAAGGGAGCGCCGAGTGCCAGGGTGGGGCCCTCCGGGGCCAACACGTTGCAAGTGGTCCGAACGTATTCCGTGTCCCAGCCGTCGTAGCGGTGCCGCTCGCTGTCAGGGCAGAGGAGGCCGCAGGAGCTTTTGGCGGCGCCGGCGGCCACAGCCCCGCGGGTGCCGCCGAAGACCGCGAGAGTGGCGTCGAGGCTGCGCAGGAAGGGATCCAGCGCGCGCGGGCGGACGAATACCTGACCGTCGTCGATAAACCACTGCTCGCAGAAACCCGGGGCGGCGGCCCCTGCAGTGGGCGGGCCGGTGTGGGGGGCGCGAGCGGCAGCGAGCGTGAGGCAGGCCTGCACAGTTCCGAAGCCGTCGCCCTGTTCGGCGCCGCGGTCCGTGGTGAAGGTCTCGCCGGAAGGGAGGAGCGTCTCAGAGGGTTCTTGCTGGTGCCAGGAGGTCCAGGCCGCGATCTCCGGGAAATCTGTCGGGTCTATCGAAGACCGCATCGCGTCCCACTCCACGCTGCCGAACATGCTCACGAGGTCCACGTCCAACGCCACCAAGGCGGGGATGGCACCTTGGGCGGCCAGCTCCTCCACCGTTCCGCGCCAGTGCGCCATGGCCTCACAAGCGCCCGGCACGCCCACGCCCCACTGGTGGGCGGCGCGGAAACAAGCGCGGAGAGCAGGGAGGTGCCGTTTGGTGTAGCGCTTGGCAAAGCTCGTGCGTATAACTTCGCCCATCTTGATAGGCCTTGGTTTGCCGTTGCGCTTCCTCTGCCACATGAGCCGCGCGCGGGTGACCCAGCGCATGGGCCCCTGCAGTTCGCCGCCCCGCATGGCCGAGTGAAGCCGCCCCAGGGCCCGCCGAAGGGCGGCTGCTTCGCGCTGCCGCGGCACGGAAAATAGTTCGGTGAGGTGCTCCGGCCGTGCGCCAGAAGGTCCAGGAGCGGTGAGCTTGCTCCATCGCACACCATCGAGGGGCCCACCGTCGGCCGAGGCGTCGTCGGGATCGTCCTCCTGCTGGGCGCCGTCGGCGGGGCGGTCGGCAGGGGGACCGGGCGCTGGCGCTCCGGGAGGCGGCCGCGGCCCACTCAGCGCCGAGTCAGGCCGCCCTGTGCGCGGCAGGAGCTCCTCAGCGCGCGCCCTGTCCTCGGCGGCTGTGGTTGGCAGCATGCTGGAGGTCAGAGAGGTTGCCGCTTTCCT